GCGAGTCCACAACCGATTAATCATCAGCAGAGTTCGCATGGGAATCGCGATGCAATTCCAGATGCGACATGCAATCCAGTGCCGGAAGAGGGAAGCGATCAAGCACAGGAAGGCGAACAAGAGGTACGAAACGCGACACATCGAACAGAAGGAGATAATGACAAGTGTCAACAAGAACGATTTACAAGAAGCAGTAGTACACATTTCAAAAGGATCGAGATGCCGGTATTTGAAGGAGCGAATGTGAACGCATGGATCACAAGAGCTGAAAGGTATTTTTCAATGGGACAATGTTCAGAAAGCGAGAAATTGAGATTAGCTGCTATGTGCATCGATGGACATGTATTGAGCTGGTATGACTATCAGAATGGAAAGAAACCATTCAAGGACTAGGTGGACGTTAGAGAAAGGATAAGGAGAAGATTTGGTGGAAGGAAACTGGGCTCACCTTTCGACAGACTACTGTCATTAAGACAAACAGGTACGGTAGAAGAATACCTATGTGAATTTGAAGAATTATTAGCTCAAGTACCTCATACTCCTGAAGAAATGGTAGAGAGTACATTCAAAAATGGATTGAAATCAGAAATATTGGAAATATTACAAATATTTCGACCTAAAGGCATGGAAGAAATCGTAGATGTAGCACTGAGTATTGAAGGCAACAAGTTAAGTGCAGTTTGTGGAGGAAAAGGAGGAGGAGAGGGAAAAAATTGGAAGATGGGGAATACAGGTTCATCATTCAGAACAGTTTCAGTACCTACTGAAAATCAGAAGTACCAGAACCAATCATTCAAGAGCAGTTTTCAAGAACGAGGAAGACAGATCAGTGGAGGAAAAGGACCAAAAGAAGAGGATGGGGTTCAAGAAAGGAAATCAACATTCAAAAGAATGTCTGATGCGGAATTTGAAGAGAAGAGAAAGAAAGGGCTGTGTTTCAGATGTGATGAGAAGTTTTTTGTGGGACAGATGCAAACAGAAAGAATTACAAGTAATATTAGCTGAGGAAGTAATAGAAGCAGGAGTGGAGTTGAAAGAGGAACAAGATAAGGAAGAAGGAGACTTGGATGAGGAAGGAGAGTTTGCTGAGCTATCACTCAACTCAATAGTGGGAATAACCTCACCAAAAACACTTAAGATCCGAGGATCAGTAGGAGATCAGGAGGTAGTAGTTTTGATTGACAGTGGAGCCACTCATAACTTCATATCATTGAAGTTAATGACAAAGCTGAAACTAATGCCTGAAGGGAACACTCAATTTGGAGTATCCTTGGGAACATGTATGAAAGTAAAAGGAAAAGGGGTTTGTAAGGCAGTACGTTTACAATTGCAGCAGATAGAAGTAGTAGAAGATTTCTTACCCTTGGAATTGGGAAGTGCTGATATGATTTTGGGAGTAAAGTGGTTGCAGAAATTGGGAAAAGTACAAATGGATTTTCAGGATCTGGAGTTGAAGTTCAATCAGGGCACATCATGGATCACAGTAACAGGTGATCCAACTTTACATAACTCATTAGTAACATTGAGATCATTGATCAAATCTGTGTGTGAAGGAGATCAGAGCTATTTAGTAAAGCTGGGAACAATAGAAGAGCTTGTGGGGGCAGACTCAAAACTTCCAGAGAGGTTACAAGCAGTGCTGGAAGAGTTTGGTCCAGTGTTTGAAGTTCCTACTGAACTGCCGCCAATAAGGGGTAGAGAACATCCAATAAATCTCAAAGAAGGAACAGATCCAGTAAGTGTCAGACCTTATAGATACCCTCATGCACACAAAGAAGAGATTGAGAAGCTAGTGAAGGATATGTTAAAGGCAGGCATAGTGAGACCGAGTCAGAGCCCTTTTTCAAGCCCAGTGTTACTAGTTAAGAAGAAAGATGGTAGCTGGAGGTTTTGCATCGACTACATAGCGCTGAACAAAGTCACAGTATTGGACAAGTTTCCAATACCAATGATAGACCAACTGTTGGATGAACTACATGGAGAAAGGGTGTTTTCAAAGTTGGACTTGAGATCAGGCTATCATCAAATCAGAATGAAGACAGAAGATATTCACAAGACAGCATTCAGAACACATGATGGACACTATGAGTTTTTAGTAATGCCTTTTGGTCTTACTAATGCCCCAGCAACATTCCAAGCATTGATGAACGAGATTTTCAGACCTTACCTCAGGAAGTTTGTATTAGTATTTTTTGATGATATTCTGATATACAGCTTGCTCACTAAAGGATCATGCAACACTTCTACAGATGGTGCTAGCAGTTTTACAGAAACAACAGCTATACGCTAACAAAAAGAAGTGTGAGTTTGGGAAACAACAGATAGACTATCTGGGTCATATAATTTCGCAGGAAGGAGTGTCTACAGACCCAGCTAAAACAGCAGCAATGCAAAAATGGCCAACACCAAGCAATGTGAAAGAATTGAGAGGTTTTCTTGGGTTGACAGGGTATTACAGACGTTTTGTACAGAATTACGGCACAATAGCTCGTCCCTTGATAGATCTTCTAAAGAAAGATGGGTTTAATTGGTCTGAAGATGCTTCGAGTGCATTTAGGAAATTAAAACAAGCTATGACATCTGCTCCAATTCTGGGATTACTAGATTTTCGTGATGAGTTTGTGGTTGAAACGGATGCCTCGGGATTTGGCATCGGAGCAGTCCTGATGCAGAAGCATAGACCAATTGCCTTCTTTAGTCAGGCTCTGTCTGAAAGGGAGAGATTGAAACCAGTCTATGAGAGGGAATTAATGACAGTGGTCCTCTCTATCCAGCGTTGGAGACACTACCTATTGGGTAGAAGTTTTCTGGTTTGCACAGACCAGAAGGCCTTAAAATTCCTACTGGAACAACGCGAGGTGAGTATGGAATACCAACGTTGGTTGACTAAACTACTGGGATACGATTTTCAAATTGTCTACAGGCCAGGAATGGAGAATAAGGCAGCTGATGGCCTGTCCAGAATGCCACACAACGCAATTCTGGAACCAACATGCATGGGTTTAGCCATAACTATCCCAAGAAACATCCAACTGGTGGAAATCGAAAAAGAAATTAGACAAGACAAAGATTTAAAGGAGATCACTGACAAGCTGAAGGATGGGGAAACCAAAGTGGGAAAGTATCATTTGCTACAAGGGATGCTAAGATATAAAAACAGGTTAGTAGTTTCCAGACATTCAAGTTTCATTCCTACAATTTTGGCTGAGTTCCATGACAGTAAGATGGGGGGTCATTCAGGGGTGTTGAGAACACTAAAGAGGATACATGAGATTTTTCATTGGCTGGGAATGAAGACTGATATTAAAAAGTATGTGGCAGAATGTGCAGTCTGTCAAAGCCAAAAGTATTCCACTTTGGCTCCAGCGGGACTATTGCAACCATTACCAATACCTGAACAAATTTGGGAGGATATTTCAATGGACTTAATTGAAGGTTTACCAAGATCAGCAGGTTATAATGTAGTGCTGGTAGTAGTTGACAGATTGAGCAAGTATGCTCATTTCATAGCCTTAAAGCATCTGTTCTCAGCTATGGTGGTTGTTAAGGCTTTTGTTCAAGAGGTAGTTAAGCTACATGGGTTTCCAAAATCGATAGTTTCAGATAGGGACAAGATATTTCTCAGCAATTTTTGGTCTGAACTATTTCGGATAGCAGGTACAAAACTGAAGTTTAGCACATCCTATCACCCACAAACAGATGGGCAAACAGAGGTATTAAACAGATGCTTGGAGACATATTTGAGGTGTTATGCTAATGCTCATCCCAGGAAATGGATTCAATTTCTGAGTTGGGCAGAATTTTGGTACAACACTTCCTTCCACACAGCTTTGCAGTCCACACCATTCCAGATTGTGTATGGAAGGGAGCCACCGACTTTATTGAAGTTCGAAGAGGGATCAACTTCAAATTTTGAATTGGAAAAAGCATTGAGGGAGAGAGATAGAATGTTAATGGAGGTCAAACAGAGACTTCAAGTAGCTCAGCAGAGAATGAAAGTTCAGCTGATAAGGGAAGACGTGAGGTGATATTAACAATTGGAGAGTGGGTCTATTTGAAGATCAGACCCTATAGACAGAGTACATTAGCAGCAAGGAGTAATCAGAAGCTAGCTGCTCGGTATTATGGCCCTTTTCAAATAGATGGCAGGATTGGAGAGGTAGCATATAAACTGAAGTTACCTAAGGGCTGTAACATTCATCCTGTGTTTCATATTTCACAGCTTAAAAAGGCTATGGGGAGTAACCTACAACCAAACCAATTACCAAAGCAGTTGACAAGAGAGCTAGAACTACAAGTACAGCCGAAAGACATCAAGGATTCCAGGTATACTAAAGAGGGCTGGTTGGAAGTTTTGGTTGAATGGCAGGACTTACCAGAACATGAAAATACGTGGGAAGTGGCTGAAGATTTCAACAAGCAATTTCCAAGTTTCCAGCTTGAGGACAAGCTGAGACAGAAAGGGGGGAGTATTGATAAGTACTTCAGGGTTTACGTCAGAGGCAGGAAGAGAGGAAAGGAAGCAGAAAAGGGTGAAGGTCAAGAGGGAGGAGCTGAAGAAGAGGCTGAAGAAGGAGCTGGAGGAACAGAAGAGAGGAGCTGAAGCAGGGAGAGACATCTACAGAGTAAGGTACGCTCTTGATTGTGTGTGTGTTTGTATATGTGGATAGTATATGTTGATTGTGTTTGTTTGTATAGGTGGTTAGTATATGTGAATGGACAGCTGTATAGTCTGTTATAGTTTGGTATGTGGTTAGCTGTTAGTAGTTTCTGTTAGGATGAGATTGTATAAATAGAGTAGAGGAGGGATTGAAGGGGTTAGGCAATTTCTAGCAGAGAATTGTAAGGGGAAGAGAGTCGGGACCTCTCTCAAATCAAAGTCATCCAACTTGTACCTGTTTTCGGAGATCAATAAAGCTGGACAGTTCTTCTCCAGCTGTGGAATCCGAGTTCTGAACCATAACACCTTCCTGCCCTACAATAGACAGACTCTCTACCAGTTGCATCTAAAAAGTCTGATTCATGAATTGGATACACAGTTTTGTATTTTGTGAACACCGAAAAATGAGGCGACCATGCTCACGCTCTAATCACAAGCTCGTATACATTACTGTTGTTATCTCCGTTGACGCGCTTCAGCATTTCAAAGCTCTTCCTGCTCCCAAGAAGCTCTATTCGTCTGAAAACCATGTACCCGCGATTCGATGTCTCTTTGCTGCAATACTCTGTCCTAAGACGATCAGCATGCCTCGAGTCTGTGTGAATCGCCGCCTCTATTTCATGATCCGCCATGTTCTCCTGCACATACAAATATGAGAAAGACAACTGAGTCCAATCAAGAAGAGACATGGCCTAACATTTAAGTAACCCGAGATTATACAATTCCATTCGGGTGTTTTAAAAGAGAACCCGGGATTACACAAAGACAGGACGCCTCGCAAAATAATACCTGATAAAATCTGTAGATACTATCCAATATTTGGAGGCATGTGAAACCGTTCTCGCTGAAATACGTCCGCGAGGAAGGTCCCATCTCAGAAAACCGATCAACGGGAAAGAGGATGGTGAGGGAG